GATCAAACAGATTAAAAAAACTACAGGTGATTTTCAGAATTCACGGATCTCATATATTCTCCTAGGCCATCAAACTGGCTTTGGCCTGGACTTGAATTGCTCATAGTGTTTCTCTTAACTGCTTTATCATTGTTGCTTCTGTTATGTTAGTAGGTTAAGATAAACACACATCTACAGTAAGCATTATTTCCAATAAATCCTGATTTCTGTGAACAATAAGAAAAAAATCATTATTTGAAAGAGAATATAATAAAATGTGTTTAGATATGCTGATGGCTTGATTTAGTTTCGTCTTCAGGAACAATGGGAAATCATTAGAAGCAAAGGTAGTGCTAGCTGACACTTGGTTTCTTGGGACCTGCGCTAAGTGAAGCAATGCTTGGTTTCTTGGGACCTGCGCTAAGTAAAAGCTGAATCAACTTCCCATTCCCCCCTAATGTTCCCTTCAGCTCTACAAAAACAGATTATGGGCTAGCCCCCAGAAAATATGTATTCATAAATGGTCATGGTCTCCATTCTCCAGATTTTTGCAGTCTCTTGGGAAAGCAAGACTTGGAAATAGAGTGAAGCAAGTATAATACTACCTTACAAAGTAGAAAGGAAGTCATGCTAAGAGAAGCTCAGGGAAAGTTCATAGAATTGATAATTGAGGAGCAGAATTTTTAAGAAAAGTTCATTAAGTAAACACGAAGAAAAAAGACTGATTGAAAAGAGATAAAGGTGTGAAGTCATAGAAGTATAACATAGCCTGGCTGGGCTCAGTGGTTGAGCATCAACCTATGAACCAGGAAGTCACAGTTTGATTCCTGATCAGGGCACATGCTCTAGTTGGGGGCTCACTCCCCAATGTGGGGCATGCAGGAAACAGTCAATCAGTGATTCCCTCTCATTATTGATCTTTCTTCCTTTCTCTCTGAAATCAATAAAAATAGATTTTTTTTTTTAAAAAAAGTGTGACTTAGCTACATGAGTGTGAGTACTTGGTGTTGCTATGGTGCCAAGTCTGCAGAAGTGAGGGAAGAGGAATTGAAGGGAGAGACGTGAGGGTGTGTGTAGAGAACGAAAGGAAGGGGCCGGAAAAAGAAGGTTGTAACTGTACTGTGTAGGGCCTTGGGTTTTATCTTTAGATGATGGAGAGACATTGAAGATGTTTGAGCATGTCATTTTATAATCAGATTTGCATTTTGGAAGATTATTTGTGGCTGGCTTCTGGAGAATGGTGTGACAGGAACCAGATTATGTGGTATCATGGAGATATAGTTAAAAGGGTAATCTTATTAGGGTAGGTCAATTGAGTGATGAGGTGATTTTCTGGTGTATAACTTTCTATTAATTTATACCTATTCTGCCATGTTTTAAAATGCCAGCAGATTGAGAATATTTTTAATATTCAGTAGAAATAATTCATTGCTACTTTTATAGTTTGAAGTTCTTTATGAAATTAATAGCAATGAAAACTTGAAAGAAGGTTAGCATTTTATTTGTCTCTGAAATTAAACCAGCAAACTTTTCACAAAAATGTTTGTAGTTATAAATTTTGCTATACAACCTGGAATGTAACTTTATAAAAATGTAAGGTAATAAATACATATACACATGTAGTTATTTGTGGAAATTATGCATATTTGAAAACAAGTGAATGATGTCATAGTTCAGGCATATCAAATTATTTGTTGATTTTACATTTGTTGCTGACAGTCATAACCAAGAGTTTGGATTAATTAAATTCATGGAAGAAGTGGTATATATATATATATATATATATATATATATATATATATATATGGCAGAAAGTTAAATTCCAATATGAGAAGAATGAAAATATTTGATAGGAAAATTTAAATAGCCATATATGTATATCAGACTGTAAATTTAAAAAGAGCATGTGTTCAAATATCATTGCAAATCATATAGTTGGAAAAGTACATTTTAAAATGGTTTTAAGTTATGTCACAAAGAATATAGCTTATAAGTATTCTTACAAAATCTTGCATAAATCCTCAGTTCTTTTAATTATGTCAACAGTAAACAAAATTCAGTTGAAAAAATTAGAACATCCATAGCATTATGTGTGTGTGTGTGGTGTGGGGTGGGGGTGGGGGATAAATTATTAGAGGGCAACATCTTTTTCTTTATAAACTCAATATTTAAAAAAATATTGCTATTTAAGTACATATAATATACAAGATATGATGAATGTTAGGTTGTATGTCCTATAATCAGTTAATGGAATAATGATTAGTTTCCCTGATGCATTTTCTTCAATTCAAACTAGTGTTCAGGAATCTTGACTCATTCCTTACTATTAGCTAAACTTTCTTCAATTATGTAGCTAGAATATTATCAGTGCCTATAGTTTTAGGATTGAAACGTTATTACTCTGCATTTCATGCCAGATTATATTTGTTTTCAGAGGTCACATTGAGGTTTCAGGGGCTAGCATGAATTTTCTGTGCCTGATTTTTAAAAGTTAAAAAACCCCAAACCATTTCATAGACATCCGTCTCCCATAACGATGATGAATGTAGTAAAATACTTTAAGGAAATTTTTTTTTTTTTTTTTTTTAGCAAAATGTATTTTTACTACATATTTGCCTTTCATAGGTTCTGTAGGGGAATCAATGGTGACATGTTTCAAAGCAGAAATCTTTTCATGCTTATTTTTTTGCTATTTAATGAGATTTCAGGTACATTTGAACAACCGGGGTTTCCCTGATGAATCATTAAAGTAAGTGAGTGGGCTGAAAGGTAACACTAACTTTTCTCAGTACTGCCCTAATTTATCCTGCTGGGTTATTAGTTGCTTTTTAGAGAGAAGGTGCGTGTGTTGGAGTGGGTGTGTGGGTGGAGGTGCAGAAGGGAAGGGGTCAGTCAGAAAATACCAGGTGACCTATTGGGAGATGATGACCTAGTAGGAAATCCTACCCAACTTTACTTTCCCCAACTTAAAGCAGTTTGCTCTGCCAAGCTTACTTTTCCAAATATTGCTTATAGGCAAATAGAAAATAGAGTTTCAGTAATTGCTGCAAGGGTAAGGTATCAAGCCATATGCACATTAACCTGTGGAATCGATTTCTCATGTGTGTGGGATTAAAACCGTTAAAACCATCGTCACTGAAACTATACCTTCCTACAACTAATAGCAGTAAGGTATCTGTGGAATGTATTAATACAACAATTTCTCTGATTTAAAATTTTTACTTGGTATTTGGTTGGAAAAATATTTAAATATTATAGGTAACCAAATTGACATCATGAATGTAGGTTTCTAATGAGATGTAGGATTACTTTTAGAAAGTCCACATGATGTATTTCTATTTAGCACGTCTTTTCCAATACATCAGTGACATACTGCGATTTTCCTCTATCTATAGTATAAAAAAACAAACAAAAAAACTCAACTACCACAGCAGTGGTTAGTGCTAGAGTAGGTAGACAAAAATGTAGTTCACCTTGAAAATATTCATGGCTCAGGGAATAAAGAAATTGGGTCAAGCTGGAAATAAATGCAGGTACAATGACAAGAAGTTTTAATAACAATTTAAAAATATTCACAGCATTGGTTTCAGGCTACTTTTGTTCTCAGTGATCTAATCAATGCATTATTAATGTTTAACTGAAATCACTGGTGGCACGTTTTTATTTTGGTCAAAATGTTTCCATGAAATACTCTTGTGATTTCTCCCTTGCTATCCCATTTTAATTGTAAATTCAAATTGTAAATACAAATTTTTTTGGAAAAGTAGATAATTAGATCATTTTGACCTCTGGTGATCTTAAGTAGAATTTGAAGTTGTTTAAAATGTCTATGTCATAACTATCATTTTTACTCATTTTATATTGCCAATTTAATGTTTAGCATTTAACCAGGTATCATTAAATCATAGATAAATAATGAATTAAACTCCCATAAAACTTTAATGGTATAGTAGAGTTTCATTCATTGGTGTCACTGGGAAATAAAATATGCTGGGGAAAAAAATGAGTTTGTTTTTTTTAAAGCTGAAGTTTACTTGTTTAAGCCGAGAAACTTAAAAGTTGATAATTTTTTAAAAAAAAAAATTATCTTATTGAGAGTATTACAGATGTCTCTCATTTTTTCCCCTTTGTTCCCTTCAACCGAGCTCTTACCCTCCTCCCCCCACCAAAAAAAAAAAGTTGATAAAATTTATCCAAAATATTGTTTATGCTATTTTAAGGAAAGCAACATATAAATGGCAACAATGTATTGGTTGTTTACTCTTTTCTTAATGTCATAGAATATCACCATTGTTGTGTCATGAGGAAAGGACTTGGGCTTTCTGATTGGTATTTTTTTTCTTCAATGAAGAAGTGTTTTTTTGTTTTGTTTGTTTTGTTTTGTGTGTGTATGCATGTGCCATTTCTTTCTTTTAAAACACCACACCCAACTTCTGATAGATTTATACAGTTTAAATGTTTCAAGGTTTAATATCTGTGATTGTACTTGTACAAATGCTTTAATAGATTCAGTCACCCAGACACCCATGTAAGACCTTTGCCTGCATGTCTGTTCACCTGCCATCCTTTGTTAAAAACGTGGTCACTGCCACGAAGGAGCCCTACTTGTTTTGGAGTAAGAACCTTCAGAGTTGGGGCCCTGCTCCTGCCACTCCGGAGGACTCACTCCCCGGTACCCCTTCCTGATGTGCACAACTGGCTGTGTTCACCTGACCTGCTTGTGAGCATCTGTGGTGTCAGGAGGACCAATGCAGTTCTCTGGGAGTATTGCTACCATGGGCGAATCACATACTCCCTTTATCTTTTAACAAATTCTAGCATAACATCAAAAATCCTGTTCAACAAAGTGTATTTTTAACCTCATGTTTATGTGTCTCAAGCAATATTTTCTAAAACAAAACTAAGCACAGCGCATTTGAACTGTTCTCTAATGTGCTGTAATGACATTTGGTTTAAATCTTATATTTAAAACTCGGCTTCCCTCTTTCGCTGGTACCTAATGGGTATCATCTTTCCTCCAGGTTGTGCTTTAAGAAGACCGCAGGGAAGAACACATTCTCTTCTTGCCACAGAAGTTGCAGTAGAAGTAAGTGGGGGAGCTGCCAGGATATGTCTGTCTCCACAAAACAAGCAGAACAAATTTCCATGAATCAAAGCCACTAAGTATAGTTTTCAGAGATGGTAGGACATAGTTACTCTCCTTAGAAAAATACCCCAAAAGCAGGCACACCCATTGGCCGCTAGCAACATGCTCCAGTAAACGCCGGTTCAAACCTGTACATTTCACTCTTCTCACCGAGCTATTAAAGGGGTGGAAATCTTCTACAGCTATAATCTTTTCTTTCCCCTTTTCTATTTTTCAACCTCCCACATGCTCGGCATTCAGTTCTGCGTACTGATTGTCTTGAATCTACAGCAGCACCTACACAGACTGCCTCCACAGTTTTGCAGATAACTGATGATTCAGACCTATAAGAAACATCTGTAACTATATGGCATAATACGTGCTCTAGATTAATCATGGAAAAGGGTAGAGTAATGAAGAATCGGAAAGCTTTCCCCCCTGATAGTATCAATGTTGCTTTCTTTGAGGTTATATGAGTGGAATATTCTTTAGAGTGGTTTATATCCCATCCCGTCACGTGAGGAAATATCTCAGGCCACGTTTACAAGCATTTTTTAGAGACCTTTTAAGACTAGACAGTGCATATACACCTTAGCATGATTAGGTCAGAGGAAATAAAGCAAGATAGTAGATATCTTGATGTGATCTAGTAAGCCAATTAATGTTAAGCTGCTTTTATTCTGTCGTTCTTGAAACCTTTGATATCATTCTCAGAATTGCCTTTTATTGCTCTCTCTAGTTTCTTTCTAGAAGCTTCTATCATTTGAAGGATTAATGGCTACCATTTTGTTAAACTTGGAGTGTGATTAGAGTTGAAGTCTCTCGCCAGCTGGCCTGAAAAAAATTGAACTTCTGCATAGCTCAGCCTCTGAGCTTCCTTCTTAGCCACAAAACCAGTGAGGCTTTTAAAATCATATTTGAAATGCAAGCTGCTGATGAGGAATGGGTAACACCCTTTGTTTACCAGTTGCATGTGTGTATCTATCTTTCTAACCTGTTCTGAGTGGATAGGAGGTTGTGATTTGAAAATATTCTTTCTCCTCAAGTAAGGTGATTTATAATCATAATGGGAAGAGCAAAATACCTTATTACTGATCATAAGTTACTGTGCACAATTTTATCTTAACACCTCTGTGGTTAGTACTGCTTGTCCCCATTTTAGAGAAGGTGTGACTGAGGCCTACAAATTTAGGTAACTTGTCCAAGGTCATACAGCTGGGAAGTGATGGAGCTGAGCTTCAAATTTGTATCTCCCTGACTCCAGGGTTTATGCTTTTTCCATCCGAGGAACACTGTTTCTTATTTTGCAGATAATTATATGTTTGTATACTTGCCCTCCAAAATGCTCATTGGGAGATTCAGAGATCAAGAAAAAAGCTTTTATTCACTTCTGGCACTTCTTTGAGAACCATTTGAGATTTTTTGCTTTGGAATGCAATTTAATGGGCATGGCTTTGTCTGAGCAAGGTGAAGTACAGTTTTACCAATGAAGAGCATCCCTACATTGTTGAGACTATTCCAATTTCATGGAACAACATTATTAAGAAAAGGAATATGCCATTTTATAAGTGGTGTTTTCTTTAGTCATAAAGGGGAATTCAAACCTATGGAATATTTTTTATTTTTAAAAAAAAATGTTTTTATGGATTTTTTAGAAAGAGGAAGGGAGAGGGACATAGAGAGCAAAACATTAATTGGCTGACTCCTGCATGCCCCCTAGTGGGGAGTGAGTTCCCAACCTGGACATGTGCCTTGATCAGGAATCAAACCATGACCTCCTGGTTCATAGGTGGATGGTCAACCACTGATCCACGCTGGTTAGGATGGTATATTTTTTAAAGCAATATTTTTCTTCCTTACTTCCAATAGGAAATAGTATATACATTGAAATGTTTATAAAAGTTTTTATATTCTTACATGTATTTTTATTTCACTAGCACATTAACAAAAATGATACTGTTCAAATAAAAATTTCTTGCTAACCAGTTCTCTGTGATGAAAAATTTACCATGTTTTTAATGATAACATCATCCCTCAGATTTGTTGTTTAAGAAAAGGCTGTAGAAACCTTGTTGATTCACTGGCATATAGCTTTACTGCATTTCTTTGGTCTTTCTTTGGGAGTGGGCTATATACAATTGTGAGGAAGTCAACATATGTTCACTGTCCCAAGAAATTGTATCGTAAAATTTGTACCACTAGAGAATTGAGATTTAAATGTCAATGTGCTTTCTTATAAATATGGGTTCATTGGAGGTAGTGATAGCTGGTGAATTTAAAAATGGATTAATATGAGAATTACAGAATCAGAGAATATCTGAACTGGGAAGGGCCTGGCCCATGAAGGGCTCTTGGAGAAGAAGAGAGTCCAAAACTCAATACAACTGTAGGCCAAGCCATTCTGGAGTTTACTGAGTCAGATCAAAGACATTTAAATTAGGAAGTGAGTGGCCACAGAAGGAGAAGGCCTTATTCTTTCTATGGTAGGAGGAAAACAGAGTCCTTGTGGAAGTAATCTTAGGGCATGAAGAAAACACATCAAAAACAAGAAAACATCCTTCATGTCCTCTTACTGACATGAATGATGCAATAATATTGATTGCAAAAATACAAACCTGAAGTGTTATATGTTTTGTTAAATAGTGGGACACACCTATTTTTTATAAAATAATGCATCTGTAAATTATTTGTACTTGCTACTGGGTATAATATCTTAAGTTGTTTTTATTTAAGAAATCTTTCTACACATACACATATATTTGAAAGATGTGTTTTTTGCTTATTATCTAGAATCTGAGGCGGGTTGAAGGGCCAATGAGTATTCTTCTCATTGAGGCATTCTATGGAGGGTCCCATAAACAGCTGGTGGACCTGCTCCAGGAAGACCTGGAAGACTGCATCCTTTACACTCTTCCTGCAAAGAAGTGGCATTGGAGAGCGCGGACGTCGGCTTTGTACTTCTCTCAGACTATCCCCGCCAGTGAGCATTACAGGTAATGAGCCTACAGGCTGCATCTCCAGTCTTTTTTAAATGCCCCTGTGTAAGGATGGTGCTTCTCTATTGGAGTCCCTGAGATGTTGTCCAGCTGGAACTGGTTAGCATGACAACAGTACAGATAGCAGAGAACAGGGGAGCACTTTGCACTCTCGTCCATGGAAAAGTGTCCACATTTAGAACCTACATGCCTCTTCTTATTTGTCTTGTGATTGTCTCACATGCACGAATGTGGGTATGGGTGACACTTTTGAGCCTCTGTTTTATTTTTTTGACTCCATAACCTCCAATGCCTGTTTTAGTAAGTATGCTGTTGTAGTTTAGTTTATTGTGTCTGCTCTATGCTAGGAGCTAGAGTTTCAAAGATGAATAGGACCAAAGTCTATGCCCTTACAGGGTTGAAGATCTATTGAGATAGAGATAGACATGTGCATGAAGTGAAAGTATGGAAAATGGAGAAGTTGGTGTTAACTGTGACAAACTAGAGATGGCTTTTAATAGTTGGGAGCCTTTGCTTACTCTTGAAAGATGAGTGGATCTGGGGACACAGACCTCAATAGTGGATTCTACTTTATGGGAACTAGGGGCATCAATTAGAGGGTCTTAAGGGTGGATAAAAATGCTCTGGTACACTTACACAATGGAATGCTACTCTGCCATAAAAAGGAAGAAACTTTACCCTTGCCACAGCATGGATGGACCTGGAAAACAATATACTGAGTGAAATAAGCCAGTCAGAGAAAGATAAGTACCATATGATTTCACTCATATGTGGAATCTAATGAACAAACTGAACTACCAAGCAAAATAGAGACAGACTCACAGAGAGCAGGCAGACAGCGCTGGTGGTGGTGGTGATAGTGTGCTGGGGAGTGGAAGGATTGAGCAAAAAGAAAAAAGAGAGAGAACTCATGGATATGGACAACAATGTGGTGATTGCAGTGGGGGAAAAGGAGGTAGAGGTGTAAGACGGTATAGAGGGGATAAATGGTGGTGGAAACAAATAAATACATTTAAAATAAAAGAAAGTTTTATGGGACACATTGGAAAGATGGACGACAAATACTGATTATAGTGGTGGGAGGAATAAGTAGAATGGAATTCCCTTGAACATGTCTACCTTTTTATTCTGTTTGCATGCACTGCCCAGAATCTCTTGGTGGTTAAGTAGTGAAGATTATTCTGCTGTAGGTTACGTATCTGATGTTCCTGCCACCCCGGGCAGGACAGCCTGGGTTTAGCAGGAGTGGAAGTGCCAGGCTGATAATGAATGACGTTAGCAGACAGGTTGTTAGAGAAAGGGCACGATGCCGGCTGCAGTGCCCACCATGGCCTGTGTAGCCGTACCCTCTGCTGCGCGTCAGGTGGAGCAGTCACAGGGACACAGGAGCCTGGAATTCAAATGTAGGTTGCTGCTCTTAGTAGTGATTTGAGGAGTTCAGAGAACAACCCTTTTGGTGAATGAAAACCATCCATCATCTCTGAGAATTCTGTTTGCAGATGGAATAATAGTGACCACTCCAGTCACGTTGCTTGGGATTTTAAAGGTGAAACATGGTTTGGTGGCGTATTGAGAATTTTGTATTTTTCCAATCTAAATTGTATTTTTCATTACTTAATTTAATGTTTTGTATTCTCATATGACTAAGTGGATATTGTTGATTCACTAATAGTTTGAGACATATCAATGAATATCCTACCTAATAAAAGAGTAATATGCAAATTAACCATCACTCCACTCACAAGCTACGGCCACCAGCCATACCCACCAACCAATCAGAGCACATATGCTAATTAGCCCCAACCAAAATGGCTGTGGCTACAGAGGTTTGGATTTCTCTGGCAATGGAAGAAGCTAAGCTTTCCACCTGCCCTAGCAGGCCTAAGCCTCCACTCTAGGCTACAAAGTTTCAATTGTAGAAGGCAAATATATCCCAGATACCAGAGCCTCCACTTGGGTCACTGAGGGGCCTGGCCAGCCTGCAAATCACCACAGGCCCCTCACTCAGAACACCCTATACCTCAAGGGAACCCCCACCCTGATCCAGGACACCCTTCAGGGCAAACCAGCTGGCCCCACCTGCGCACCAGGCCTCTATCCTATCTAATAAAAGAGTAATATGCAAATTGACATCACTCCAACACACAATATGGCTGCCTCCATGTGGTCAAAGATCCTGCCCCCATGTGGACACAAGATGGCCACCACAAGATGGCCAGCAGGAGAGGGAGGTTGGGAGGGAGCAGGCCTGCAAGGGAGGGCAGTTGTGGGTGATCAGGTAAGTAGGGGAGGGCAGTTGAAGGCAATCAACCCTGTAGGAGAGGGAAGTTAGGCGTGACAAGGCCGGCAGAGGAGGGAAGTAGTGGGCAAATGGGCTGGCAGGGGAGCAGTTAGACATTAATCAGGCTGGCAGGGGAGTGGTTAGGGGGTGATCAGGCTGACAGTCAGAAGAGGTTAGGGGCAATCAGGAAGGCAGGCAGGTGAGCAGTTGGGAGCCAGCAGACCTGCATTGTGGAGTCCCAGATTGAAGAGGGTGCAGGCTGGGCTGAGGGACAACCCCCTGCCCCTGCCCCTGTGCACGAATTTTGTGCACCGGGCCTCTAGTATCAGTATAAAAGTTTTAAAGGCAATGATAAGACTATTGCTGTGTTATAATCTGACTGTTTGTAGTTGCTTTCCCATCTTATTTGTTTTCCCTGCACTGGTTGTGCTTGTAGTACTTGAGGTCAAGTAATCTGGCTAACTTTATGGTGGCACATTTTCATTTAACATTACATCTTGGTATAATGAAAAATTTCAACGGTGACTCGAACATTGAAATGAACCAATGCTGTATTTGCTTTCAGATTTCATTTTGATTATGCAGTTTTTCAGAATGAGAGGATTGTATTACAGATATATGTATGTAGGTGGCAGGCAAATTGCCCACTCCCTCTTGGGCCTGAGGCATTTGAGGATAAACACAACACTGCTGTTTGAAGCGGTCTTACTTGGGAAGTAGATTTCTGAGAGATCATGATGTCGCCAGAACCTCCAGGTCTTCACTGTGGTATCTGTGATCTCTCAGAATCAGCCATATAAGCCATGCAGTTAACTGTTCATCTAATCAGACTTCACGAAGAGATAGAGCTCACAAGTTTAACTTACTGTAATATTTGACCAATGATAACATGTAACTCTTTATCAAATAGCTCTTTCAAATACTTTTGGACAGATAGCAGCAGCTTGAAAACTTACACTAAGTTAAAAAATATGTTCACTCAATCCTACTTTGAGGTTCTAGAGTAATCTTTTTTCATATATATATATATATATATATATATATATATATAATCATTGACCGGCTGCCTCCTGCAAGCCTCCCACTGGGGACTGAGCCTGCAACCCAGGCATGTGCCCTTGGCCAGAATCGAATCTGGGATCCTTCAGTCCACAGGCAGATGCTCTATCCACGAATCAAACCAGCCAGGGCTAGAGTAATCTTTTATTACCCTAGTTGATCTGATCTCTGTAGAGACTTTTAAAGGTATGAAAGATTTTTGTTTTCCAGTTACTTACTCTTTGTACATTTGGGAAATAAAATAATCAAAATTCATAAAAAAAATGAATAAGGACTAATATTGCCTACTATGCACAATCATTGTGAACAAGTAAGAATGCGTCTGATGAGGAAGGACTTAAGTGCAGGTACACATGTTATTTTCTAACTCTGTACATGCAGTCACTGTTAGAAGCTTGTTATGTGGAAAATATCCTATATGAAAAGAGAGGATGTCGAAACCAGTTTGGCTCAGTGGATAGAGCATCTATTTGCGGACTGAAAGGTCCCAGTTTTGATTCTGGTCAAGGGCATGTACATTGGTTGCTTGGTTGCGGACACATCCCCGGTGGGGGTTGTGCAAGAGGCAGCTGGTCGATGTTTCTCTCTCATTGACGTTTCTAGCTCTCTGTCTCTCTCCCTTCCTGTCTGTAAAAAAATCAATTTTATATATATATATATATATATATATATATATATATATATATATATATAGAGAGAGAGAGAGAGAGAGAGAGAGAGAGAGAGAGAGAATTATGTTAATTATCTGTTACGCTGTGAGGCATAAAAGACTGACCACATAAGGACCAGATCATGGATCTGTGGGAGGGTGGGGCAGGGAACTACAAGCAGGAGGCGGAGAGCTACAGAACGGGCAGGGCAGCAAGCTATGGGAGGGGAGCTACAGGAGGGCAGGGCAGCAGACAGAGAGCTAAGGAGGCGGCAGAGAGCTACTGGCGCATGGATTCCTGCACAGGACTACTAGAGTTAATAGTAAAAGGATAAATGCTTCAGCATAATTCATCAGTTTGGTTCTACTTTATCTTGACAGCTAAAAAATTCGTGCATGGCGAGGATCCCTAGGCCTGGCTGGCGATCAGGGTAGATTGGGCCTTCTGACTGCTGGCCAGGGCCTTTCTTCGTTTTGTGCTTCTACCTGGTGGTCAGTGCACGCCATAGTGAGCAGTCAAACTCCCAAGGGGTCAATTTGCATTTTAGCCTTTCATTATATAGAATACCTAGACTAGGCATCAAAGACATTGTATTCTTTTTTTTTTTTTTCAAAGACATTGTATTCTTTTTTCGCATCTTGCTCCACATTTGGGGCTGTATAATGTTATTATAGATTATAAAAGCTCTGGAAGTTATTTTTCTCAGTAGCAGTGGGTAATTCTAACTTGTAGGTTATACTAAAACCTTGCCCTCTGGAATCTTTGCAAAATGCAGAAGGATGTTTTTGGGGATATGCCTTAATTTTGTATTCTGAAAATGTGTAAGTCATTTGTTCTAGAGTATTTTATTAAAATACTAAAGGCCTGGTGCACAAAATTCGTGCATGGCGAGGATCCCTAGGCCTGGCTGGCGATCAGGGTAGATTGGGCCTTCTGACTGCTGGCCAGGGCCTTTCTTCGTTTTGTGCTTCTACCTGGTGGTCAGTGCACGCCATAGTGAGCAGTCA